CCTCATCTGTTGAGTGTATAGCAAAACTCTGCCAGGGTAAATTTTGCAAAAAATTGAAAAAAATTGTCAAACTGGGCTGAATTTTTTTTTGTGCCAAAGAATATGGTTGCCCTAAAGAATAATTTTTTTCCAGCTCGATTAGATGCCATCTTCATTTTCATTCCGAGAACTTTTGTTAGAACCCTTGTATTGTCCAAATCTCCCAGATTTTCTTTCAAGTTTCAATTGTCTTTAATAATTCACATTGTCCACATGTTGTGGTCCCACTGTTGATTTCTCCCTGCTCTGTTCACTCCTTGGTTTGCCATTCATTGGTTTGTCTCTATATAGAGGGCCAACGTATCTCGCACAATGGACCTGGATCTATTTTTCAAAAAAGACTTCTTGCAGTTCACTGGAAGGTGAGATTACAATTTGTGCCAACCCTTTAATAACCCTATATCCTGAATTCCTGATATCCACCCAATGTTGAAACAGCTTCAAGGAACGTGGAGCCAGATACACCCTCAAGATGTTACAGTCTTCCAAGTCGGGTCAGCAGCACAGTCGGAATGGTGTTGTGGCTGCATCTGCTGGCAACCATGCACTGGCCCTCAGCTATCATGGTGCAGATCTGGGCATCCCTGTCACTGTGGTCATGCCCAAGTCAGCGCCCATCATGAAGGTGGAGGCATGCAAGTCATTTGGTGCCACAGTCATGAATCATGGCTGTGACTTGAGTGAGGCCAAGGCATTTGCCATGGCTTATGCAAAGCGCAATGACATGCTCTACCTCAATGGGTGAGTACAGTACTATACAAAATTTACTTGATTGCCAAGCACCATTGTGGGAGACTGGCACTTTTAATCTTTTGGTGCAACATTTGCCCAAAAATCTTTTCTTTGCATGAGACCAGCACAATTTTTTTTTGCTGTTGCTGAGAACCACTTTTTCCACAATAATAATTGTTCATTCTTCTAAACCTCATACCAAAACAAGCTGAAGACCTTGTGCTTTAAATTAATTTTTACATATATTTTGTTACCAATGTCAGGGAATGAATGGGTGTTTGCATAAATGTCAGATGATGGGAAGGGGGGTTTGGTTGTGGAAATCTTGAGTGAACCTTGTGAACGCTGAAAAGCGGCAAATAAAGTGTTTTGTTCATTCATTCATGTAATAATTTCTTTTGCAAAACAAACAAATAAATCAATGAATCATTGAAGCAGGATTGGTGACAAGCAGAATTCTATACCTACTCTCCTGACATACATGCTTGACTTTTGACATACATTCATGATGATTTCATGATTTTTCTGAATGAAACTAATTGTACCCACATGCCAAAGTCACCCTAGTTTTCCTATTCAATTTTCCAGAAAAAAAGGTGCACATGAAACTTGTGAAAATTCAGTTTTTGTTACCTATGAATATGTGTTCTGCTGGAACCATTTCTTTATGTTTATGTTTATATCTCTGAAGTTATGATCACCCACACATCTTGGCTGGCCAGGGCACCATTGCTCTTGAGATCATGGAGCAAGTGAAGAACATTGATGCTGTTGTGATCCCAGTTGGGGGTGGTGGACTCCTTGCTGGTTGTGCCCTTGCCTTCAAAACACTCAGACCAGAAATCATGATAATTGTGAGAGAGAGAATAAATTAGTTGCTGCTTGTCAATTCCTATTCTATTTTTTATTTATCTCTTACTTCAAAGGGTGCTGAAGCAGAAAACTGCCCAGGATTTGCAGCAGCCCTGGATGCAGGCGAGCCAATATTCACACCTGTGAAGCCAAGCCTTGCAGATGGATTGGCTGTGCCAGTTGTTGGAGTGAATGCATTTGCAACAGCCAAGGACCTGGTTGACAAAATGGTATGTAAATAAATGATACTCCAACTCTGCCAACATTTGTGCACATAATTCTGTACTGTTGTGTGTGCACAGGTTAAAGTGAAGGATGAATGGATTGCCATTGCCATTTTGCGGCTTGTTGAGATGGAGAAGGCAGTGGTGGAAGGTGCTGGGGCCATTGGGTTTGCAGCTTTGCTCCAGGGACTCTTGCCTGAACTCAGTGGCAAAAGGTATAAGGTCTATAATTATAAAGGAGAGATGAGAGAGAGAGAGTGAGATTTGGAAAAACAAGAAACTATGCCAACATTGGATGACTTGACTGTGGTCATTTTTCTCCATCTGGCCAGAGTGGTGGTGCCATTGTGTGGTGGCAACATTGACACCACAGTGTTGGGCCGTTGTATGGAGCGTGGACTGGCAGTGGATGGACGACTTGTCAAATTCATTGCCATGGTGAGTGACCTACCTGGTGGAATAGCTGGACTCACAAGGCTCATTGCAGATGCTGGTGTGTCCATCAAAGACATGGCTCATGAGAGGGCATGGGTTCGTGGCAATGTTTTCCACACCAATGTGAGTCATTCTTGTTGATGCCTATATGTACTGTATACAGATGAACCTCTCTAAGTTGAATTTCAAGGGATTCAGCAACCAAATTTACCTTAGCAAGGTCCTCACTCAGGGAGCTTTCATGTTATTATTGTGCTTCTTAAATAAGTTGACAGGATGCTGAACTTGGAGGAAGCCAGAAAATTTAAATAATGGAGGTTTCAGAGGAAAATCCCTGAAGCTATAGAGGTTTGCAGTGCATTGTTTTTTAGGGTAATCAGGTGGGGAATTGAAAAATTGAACATAAGATAGGTATTTGACATGGGGAGGTTCAAGTTATTCATGTTCAACTGCACAGAGTATTCTGACATGTTCATCCATCCACAAAGGTGGACTCTCTGTACAATAGAATTAAAGGGATCAAAAGACTTCCTTTTAGGAAGGATTCCATTGTAGAGAATCCCTGTAACATGGGTAGAGGATGCTGTGGAACCAAAAAAAATGGCAGTATGCAGAGAAAATGGTTGTAGACAAGATCATTGTAGAGAGAGTCCACCTGCAATTGTCTTCTTCTCAACATCCCTTTCTGTTAAAAAAAAAAAAGATCAGATGAGTCATGCTTTCCTATGCTTGGCAGGTCACTGTAATAGTGGAGACAAGGAACCGAGAACATGCCATTGAGCTTGAACACACACTCAAGTCTGTCTATGAGTTTGTCCATTTCCGCAGTTTGTAAGTCTTCTTGTATTCTTTTTTTTTATTTCTGCACACTGTTTTCAAGTGTTTCTTTAATGTTATATAATGTTATTCCTGTCAAGTGTGACAGGAATAACATTGACCCAGATTTGCTCTATTTCTTGAATTTGTTAATGTATACCCTTTGCAGTTATTCACCAGAGGATGCCGATTCAGGCATTGGAGAGGATCCTCATTGGTGATGAGTGTGTCAAATTGCCAGTGCCTTAGTTCCAGTGAATGCTGCCATAGATGTCTCCACCCTCTTCCATCATTGTCACTTTGTTCAAGTGATAGTAATGAATGCAATTTGCAAACCTTCCTTGTATCTGAAATTGTTTCTCTTTTGTACTGCTGGTTTCTTTATGGTACTGAGCATTTCAGCAGTGAGACCCCCACATGCGGACACCTTGACCTGCAGACAATTTGATAGAAAAATTAATAAAAAAGGCCCAACATGAGGACACAGACTCAACATAGGAAAATTTTGTGATAAAGTTGCAGATACATTTCAGGCCAAATTACAAGAAAGAGATATTTCCAACCCTAAAATTGATGTAAGAAAAGTTATTGGGCATTTCCCTCACCAATTTACCATCCATTTAGCTAATTTTACAAAATTACGTCCAGCAGAGAGGGACTCTTCTCTCTTTTTCACTTGAATTTTATTTTTTTTACAGAGAATGCCAACATTTCTGTGTACTCTACAGAGGTTATCAGAATTTAATTCCCCAAATGTGCATTTCGTGTTGAAATACATTGATAGGAATCAGTTTAAATTGGGAGACAATTTCTATTTTCATGGAATTATGGTGAGTATTTTGTGCATAAAACACCAATTGAAATCTAAATAATGTAAGTCTAAGGGAAAATAAGACCCAACTTAGGGACACTCTTGATGCACCAATTATGTCCGCATCTTAGGGTCTCACTGTATTATGCATGAAATTGCATTTAACAAATGTGTACATGCATAATTGCATTTGTATACATATCCATCTTGAACACCATGTCTTGTCCAGGCTTGGACAAGCTCTACAGGAGGATCAAAATTCATGGCAACATCCCTTGAGTGAAAATACAGAGCCTATATAAGCACTAATATTACAGGGATTTTTCACACAATTTTTAAACTGAAAAAGACAAGTGAATGGGTGAAAGTAAATTTGGTATGTAAATCAGAGGGAATACAGGGGAGGGTTTGTGTGGCAGCCCACGGAACCCTTCACCAACACCAGACCGGTGCAAACCATCACTCACAAACACAGCTAGATGTCGCTCTCAACAAATTCACGATATCAAGTGTTCCTTGTAAGCGCATCATTGGAACACATAGGAAGTCACCTGGAACCATGTACTGTATTTAATCCTGAATAATAAACAAGTTCTGAACTACACAAATGAATAAAAGAGTAATCATCCAAAAACAAAAAAATCGCAATTCAATACATTCAATGATGTCCAACAAGAAAATTACATCGGATACTTATGATTCTGATGCTGTGGTTGTTGAGTACCCAATAATGACAGGCTTCAACAAAATTTTAGTGATTCATTTGTCACAAATAAAACTATTTTCAATCTTGCACTCAGTTTTTCCAATACAGAATAATTTAGGATAAAAACACTACTGTAATTGACTGAACAAACTGCAAGTGATACTCCATGAAATTATCAATTGAATGGAACCTTCTCCCTTTATACTGTAGACATTATTTTGACTGGTATTAAGTATTTTCTCTCTTACTCATGAAGTCATGTCAAGTCATAAATTTAAATAAAAAAAAAAACAAAGAGCTTAGGACTAAACCTCTAAAATTATTTCTTTTTTTTTCTGAAATAAATGCATATACAGTATATCAATCAGGAGTTCATGACGCAATGGTGAAGACTTCAGGATATTTTTTGGAAAATGATACCAATTTTTTTGAAAAAAAAGAAGAAAAGAATGAATGCGTTTACTCAGTTAACTGTACCAAATATGAGAATCCAGGTTTTTTTTCAGGTGTTGATAATGGAAGTAAAGGTATGTGAAACCGGAAAAAGGAAGCGACAGACACGTGTGTGTGTGTGTGTCGGTGCTGGTTTCCATCCGTTTTGTCTCGGAATTCCAAGTGGCTTTTCTTCCTGGGGCTGTATATTTTTTTCTCTCTCCCCTTTTCTCCTACTATATTTCCCAAAAACACGTATACCAGCCCCCAAGTGTCTATTTTCTGACAACTAAAGGAACCCAGTTTCAAAAGGGGAGACGCATGATGGACTGACTTCCTGTGTCTTGTAACACAAAACACTGCATTATCGAATATTCCTTCTTTTGTTTTCTTTTTACTGTTTGTTAATGAGTTACGGCACGGGGTGTGGCAAACGTTTGTGTTTTCCAAGGGTGTGCAAAAGGGAGACAGAAGTGTGCAGTTTTGTATCTGCTGAGCTTTTGCGTGCCAAAAAAAGCCGTTGCTGGAGACGGATTTGGCCAGTAGACCGTTTGTTGTGTGAATTGGGACATGAAACAGATTCTCTCTCTGGCTTTGAAAATGTTGATGATGCATGTGAACCTTGGAAACTGGAAAAGAAGGAAACTGAGTATATATACTACTGTACATTGATCCCATCTGAATGGAGTCAGGGAAATTTTGCAAAATTCAGTGGTCAATGAAACACAAAATGTAGGGTCATCAATGCTGTGGTAAGAAGTCTGAGAAATTTTGGAATTTTCCCTCTTAGTGCATGACTATTTTTCTAAGCTCATTCACTGGCATTTTTCAATGAAATTCTAATAGTTGGTTAACACTGGAGGATTTGTAAAAGGTATATTGTTAGCATTCTCACAAATTACATCAGACTTGAGCTACTCATTCCAGGCTGACTTTCATGTGCATTTTGGCCAAACCAAAGATTTTAGCAATAAAATAATAACCATAAACCATTTATTAGCAGGGCTCTCTCTTGGGGTAGAAAATGACCCACTGCCATCAATTCTGGAGTCATGCATATTTTCTCAAACTGTATTTATTCCAAAGCCTTATGCTTCCCTTGGATCAAACAAATTTTTAGTTTCCTTCTTTGTGACAAGAATAACTTGAATGTAAAAATGAAATGCTTTGTCAGCATCATAGCATTTTTTAAATGTAATACAGTATTCTCAAAAATGGTAAGTGATCTATAGCTGTGATTATCAACAGTTCCATGGAAAGATAAGAAAATTGCAAAAAATGGTGTCAGTCTAAGCCCTTGTGCAGCAAAGTCAGGATATTTTTTTCAATAATTTGTGTCCATGAGCACTGACAATCTAAAAAAAATTGATTTTTGCACCAAGGCTTAAGTCAGGAAAAAGTCCAACATTTTTCATAATCCTGCAGAATATTACCCTAGAAAACCCTCACTCTGTGCCTTTTCACCAGAATTCATTGCATAGGATTAGCTTTAGAAATTTTGGAATACAAAAGGATTCACCCTTCCCAGATGTTTCCTGAGCATCCTGAATTAGGCCTTCCCAACCTGGGTGCAATTCAGTGACCTTTGGTCAAACTGAAGAGCGTTGACCCCTCAAAAAAATCCTGCCTTTGCTACAGGATGACCAGGAACCCTCTGCCATCCAAAGGTTAACAGAGATTTTTCAACACACATATGATATATATATATATATATATATATATATATTATTTAAAAATATTCATATCCACCTAAAACATTGGAGTACCCGTGAAAAAGGTCACTTTGTAATTTAATCATTAAACAATGAAGCATTTTAATATTGACATGAATGTAATTCAGGTGCTATGCAGTGGGGTCTTGGCTAACAAATGTCTGGCCAACAAAATTTCCAGTTAACAATCTTTGGGTTGGGGCCTGACTTGCTCTGGCTAACAAATCCTGACCCAGCTTACAAATTTAAGTGGATATGAATGTGCACCCCCAAAATGCCTGCCAATTATCCCCTGTCCCTGGAATCAGCAGTCAATCTTTTCCAGTGAATTTTTTTGTTTTTCTGTAATTATTGAGGCTGAAATCACCAACTGAAAATAATTTTCACATCTTTTCCCATTTTATTTGAATATCTGTGCTCTTGTTTTGCCAAGTTTTGATGATAATTCTTGGAATCTGCTTTTGCCTCATTAGAGTGTCCTCAATTCAAATATATTTTGAGATGACGTGTCAACTAAATATGGCCCTGCCCAGATTGTCTTACTTTTTTCACAGACACAGGTCAAAAGTATTATGCAGCACATAAATCCCTCTTTCTTTTATATTTTTATAGAAAAATTCCTTGTGTTTTATACAGGCACAGTAGGGATTTTTATGATGGATTTCTTGATTTTCTTGGGCACTTACAATGGTCTGGAACCAATTGAAATTATTACTGCTAGTTCCTCCATAATGGAACACATGATTTGGCTCACAAATTTTTCTCAGGAACCAATTAAGTTTGTAAGCCAAGGCCCCATTGTATTATAGTGAGATGCTTGATACTTCTCATTTTGTGTGCATTTCAAACAGGGGCCTTCAAAAAAAAGGAGACCTTATAACCATTGGCTTACAAGAAAATATTCCACCAGAAGCACGTGATCTTATTCATAGTTCTCCAAAATGAAAAAGCAAGTATAAAAAGAAAACACCAAGAATGAGTGAAGACAGGAAAACACAGAACAAGGGAAAAGCGACGGTTTCTTTCTTCAAGCTCAAGAAATGACGCATGTGTGTGCGAAATATTTCTTTTTGGAAGGGGTGTGTTTTGCAGAAGCTGCTAATACCGGCCGTCAAGGTCGTGGGGGTCAACTGGAACCCCCGCTGATTTGCAACCCCCTTCGTAACCCACCCACTCCCCGTCTTTTCCCTCCCCCTCCACCTCCTTTTTTTTCTGCCATTCTTTGCCAGTCGACGGTTGCGGAAGGAACCCTTGCTTTTCTGTCTCATTTCATCTTCTTTCTCTCCCTCTTTTTGCTCCACATGCAAACACTTGAGCTTTTTGCTCTTTTCTTTCCCTGTTTTTCTTATTTTCTGACCACTGTTCTCAGGGTTACCATCCCTTTCTTTCCCAGCGCAGGAGAACTGCAATAGTTTATTAGGTGGCAGGGTGATGATTTATGGCCTTTGCCACTTTATGGATAGTTTAAAATGATAATTTGTTAAATGTTTTCAAGAAAAATTCAACAGACGCACAAGGATAATGTAAAGTGACCTAAGCTATGTATAAGAAATTTATAAACTGGTTGCCCTTCTAAACATGGCCTAAT